AAAGACGTGCAACAAGGATAATTCCGGCTTGAAAGGCAAGTCCTTCTTAAATTGTCATGAATAAGAATGGCCTAAGGCAGTCAACTTGTTCAGTGTATTCCAAGTACCTTCTATATATTGCCTGCAAAATAATGTGTCAGTAGATATCGAATTCGTTTATAGCTGGATAAACCTGGATTTTTTATCGTTACCTGAATTTACCTCATTAAGATGTAATTAAGGAAACTAAAGAATATAATTAGCATAGAATTGAGAATAGAAATATATTTATATAGGATGAACTTTAGGCGTAACATTATGGCAGGCGACCAGCCCCTGAAAAAATTAATCCGAATTCAAGTTAAATTTGTATGGCCTTCGACATGCTGGCAACTTATGATACAAACTTCTGTTGGTCATTCGTCTTGAATTCAAAGGAGAAAAAATATTGCATTAGCATTTGAGGTTATCTTAACATGCGCCTTTATGATTATTCTGCTATCACTTAGAAAATTAATTCCTTCAATTTCCCGCTTTCAGTTGTTGGCATGTGTGTGTTCCAAATTTCAGTTTTTAGTGTTTCATGAAGACATAACTAATCTTATGAAAAATGTAATGATTGTTTGTAATTGTTTGAAAAATGTAATGATTGAGTCAGAATGAAAAAAAAGTCTTCATATAAATTTTGTTATCATTAGTTTAAAAAAAAAAACTTTTCTGAAGTATTTTGCTCAAGCTTTGTGTATTCCCTCATCCGACATGTATATTCGACAGTGCATCGCTACCGTGTGCCTGCTGCTGCTCGCTGCTACAAGCGCCGTGGACGCGCTTGCAGATCCTGTTCAGGAAACCGTAGCTCAGTGAGCATCAGAAGTTTTTTCAGGATTCATGTTTCGATTGAAATTAAATTTGTTATCATATAGTATCACGTAATCCCCGACTACTTGTTGATTGATGACACAATTGCAATTCTTGATATATAATACAATTTATTTTACTAATCTATCCTCGTATTATTTAGAGTGCATGAGCCACACAAATAGAATTTATATTTTTTAATTGACATAATGATTATATTCCATTTAACTAAGATTTTGTTTCTAACGCAGGGTCGCCTCGCGGGACGCTAAGAACATCGTAGTAACGATCTCATATCCCGGCTACACGAACTTCTACTCAAAGAACATATTTACTCCTTTCAATAAAAATTTCAGCAAAATAACTTTCGGCTAAGCTCATGACACGTAACAAAATGAGAAAACAATTTAAACTCCAATGATATTTTAAATCAACAAAAACGAAAACTGAATATTAAATGGTGAAGATAATTATACTCATAAGTAGTTGACGAATATAATTCTTTATTAATTAAAATAAGTAATGTATGCAGTATATTTTAGATCCTCTTCTTCACTCTAAAGCACTTTTACGCTGGTGTTACTTGTCACGTTAGTGTATATTCTGTATAGTGTATAACGTTGCACAAGATAATCAATTCTCTGTCATCCGTCCAATCAGATAGTCTTGCATTGCATTGCATTTTTTGCACGTTCATTGCATTGTTTGCACGTTCATTGCATTGTTTGCACGTTCATTGCATTGTTTGCACGTTCATTGCATTGCGTGGTGCATTGTGAACATTTATTCAGTATGTTAAATGAGAAGCAAAGTGCGGTTATACGCTAAACAAAGAAGCACTCACCCGTACTTTTGAGTCCGACAAGTTTAGGAAAACATGAATTTCGGATTACATTTGATCAAATATATTGCTAAAAATATAAGACTTACAACTATTAAGGTTAATTTAATGGTAATCGAAACTCTGCATTTTTTATGTGTTGTCAAAAGATTCAAATCTGTTTTCCCTGTATAATGTACAGAAAAATTTCCCGTAAATTTGAAGAAATGCCGTCAAGTAAACTTTTTATGAACAATAATTCATGAGAATTATTTTAAAAGGAAAATGAAAGTTTGAAGTGTATTAACTTAATATGAACTCTGATGTATACCAGCTGATGTCCCAGGAACGCTGCACCTTGTTGTTTTATCGAAAAAAATGGGTTTGAATTCAAAATATTGTGATATTCAAGTGATGAATGTACATAATCCATAAAGATTAAATGTGAGCATACTTTCTGTTTTAATAAAGAATGTTTCTTTATTACACTCAAAACACATCATGAATTCAAATTTTGCCCAGTAATTCAATAAATTTTAACACACCGTTGAAACGGCCTACTCAATAATTGTAACATTAAAATAAAAATATAATGTTTCAAAACGCATTGTAATCTTTTTTAATAATATAGAATAAAATAGAGCCCAATAGCTCTACAGCACCTGCAACTCCTATGTAATTTTATTTTTCTGCAAATTGACGTGGCTGGATTCTCGACGAATGTGACGAATTAATTCCACATTTGTGAATTTGAAATGTGAATCATCGGCGCATAGTTTTTTGTCCGAATGAAACACTACCGGCACTAGCATAAATTATACAGAAATTAATTAATTAATTAATTATACAGTACGTGCAATGTCAATAGATGCTTAAATCGATTTTCATGATGGCAAAATTTTAACGTTGCAAGTGACAATTATAAACTCGATGGTCAACTTTTGGGAGGATTGAAAATTTGAGTGAAATAAAGTAAATAATTAGTGTAAATCAGTTTTGTATCCTCGACGACTGACTAATTATTATAACACGATCTTTTGGAGTCAGATCAAAGCAGAAGAGTTTAACTCGTTGTGAACACCGGAATTGCGAACTGAGGTCGGGTAGATCCTGCATACCAATCCAAGATTCAACAGCAGACCTAAAAAATTACTGCGACTGATATCGAGTCTCCTGTGTTGATCTCAACTCCAGTAGGATGCGATGCCCGATGTGGTTTTTATTGGAACCGCCCTGTTTTTCCTCTGATTACGAAAGATTCGCTCTTCCCAGACTGATTTTTTCAACAATTTCATTTTTTTCTGAAGTTGCATGTTTGGGAGTAGAATCTATCCGGTGTTCCGGGAATGAAGTATTGGAGTCTCGTCTCCCTATCGCGTCAATTCCCGCCTGCGGGCTGAGTTTAAGGTGACGAAACCGACAGTTATCTCATTTGCAACCTCCATTTTTCATAGTATTCCAGCATAAGAACGGATGATAGTATTGGCAGTATTTCCCATTTTTGCCTCCGCGTTGGTTTTTGCTTCCAAATGTTGAGAACTTGCGAGAGATCTCAGTGTGCGGATACGTAGAGCTCAATCTTTTATTCTCTCGATCGCAATTGCCATGAAGATACCTCCAGCAGATGTGTTGCTTTCCAGGCGGAAGAGCAGTGGAGGCATTTAAATGCCCCGTGGAATTGAGGGTGGTGTGGAAGACGGGTAGGGTTTACCCGTTCATCCCTCCTTCTGTAGGCGGCGGTCAAGGGGTGGATTGCGAGTAAAGGGAAAGAAGGGCGAGGTACGATTTCAGACAGCAGTGATGAGGCAGGCGGGGGCAGAGGGAATAGAAGGTGGCAACGCCTGGGCACGGCGAGGGAAACACTCACGTGAAGCTTATTTCGGATCCCTTCACACCCTAGAACTCCTTGCACAGCTTCGACACTTTACTTGAACCACTCTTCATTTTTTACATATTTTCTGCATATCTATAACGCCCTTGTCTTTACTTATGTAGCAAGTTGGTATACTGGGAGTAGAGAGCATTCAAAAGTGACCGAACAGGCTGCATGAATTGCATCGCAACGCAAATTTACCGTAATTTAGTTTTCTTGCATTCAAAGCATTCTCCAGATGGTTGGCTTTTCCAAGTTTTAGCTGCCATTTTTACTAGTTCACAATACTGTTCTCTGATATGTTCTTGTACTATCTCATTTACGAGTTCACTGAACCAATATACTGGTCGAAATTTGTAATATTTATTCTCAAATTGGGCAGATATAGTGAAATCTAAACTCTTAAGAGAAAAAGCAAAATTATGTAAAATGACACTTTTAATATCCACTCGTGTTATCAATTCACACTCTCTTCACTGACTTCACACTGAATTTCAGACTTTTCTCTGAAACACTCTAGTACAAGATGCATGTACAGCCACCAGCCGACAATAGAAAAAGTCAAATCAGGACCGGTACATCGGTACATGTCACGTCCGTCTTCAGTCACGGCTCAAGCATCGAAACAATCAAGCAATCCATTTACTGCCTATCAAAACCATAACTAGAGATCATCCCACCTCACAGCGAATCATTACTTTACATATCAATCCATATTGGTACTACTTATCAAACGCATCGCTGAAGTGCTTCCCATCTCACGACGCATCATTGATTTGCATCGCAATCCATTTACTACTTATGAAAAGCATCACTTTTGATAATCTTAGGGGCTGCCTCGATTGATAGTGGTCTAGAACCTCCCTTGGTAAAGTGGAAGCAGCAGTCGTAATTTATTTACCCTGCATTGCAAATATTTGCTCCACAGAACAGTCGAATTACTTGTCACTCATTCCTAGCTCCTTAGATAGAATGGTATATGAATTCCTTAGTATCAGTGAATGAATGCATATATACCAATGCTCGCTGCCGCAAAATACTGCGTTACTCTGCTGTGCAAAGTAGACTTCCTACCCTGGCCCATCTCGTTACCCAACGAGCTACGTTGGGTTAGCCTATAAGTTCCTACAGCATTTTCATGCATAGTTTATTGGTGCTGAAATAATTCGATACATAATAATCCAATCAAAAGCTTAAATAGTGGTCTAATGATACAAAATTAATCAACTTACATTGTATAGTTTTTATGAAAAAGTTAAATTCATACACAAACACAACTCTTTTGTACTGAAAAATTAAAATATTTACCATCAGCATTATATTTACACGGGTATCTTCAACTTGGAAGGTGCCCTTGGTGGAGCGCTGGGTTCTTACGAGAGCTCTTCAAACGAACGCCTTCCCATGACGCAGCACAAAACACCTTTAAGACTGCAGTCCTGGCATGCTTAAATGGTTGTATCTTGGTGCAAGCGAGGCTGTTAATACTCCATCATGAGGTTCCTACGAGTGAGTAATTTAATATTTAAGCTTACATTTTTATGAATAAGAAGGGCTAACGTGGTCAACTTGTTCAGTGCATTCAAAGTACCTTCTCTATATTGAATGTAAAATAATTTCAGTGGATGTTAGATTTCATTAATAGCTGAATAACCTTGGTATTTTTATCTGAATTTGCCTCATCTAGAAAGAATCAAGGAAACTAGAGAATATAATTACAATAGAATTTAGAATAATAATGCAATTTATATAGAATGAACTTTAGGCGAACCATAATGAGAGGCGATCAGCTCCGTAAAAAAATTGATCTAAATTCAAGTTATATTTTTATGGCCTTCGACATGTGAACAACTTATGATACACAAACTTTTCTTGGTCATTCTACTTACATTCCAATGATAAAAAAATGAATAGCATTTGAGTTTATCTCAACATGCGTCTGTATGATTATTCTGCTATCACTTAGAAAATGCAGAACTTCTAGTTCCCGCTCTCAATTGTTGGCATGTTTGTGTTCCAGATTTCGGTTTTTGTTGTATCATGAAGATAAAACTATTCTAATGAAAGATGTAAAGATTGTTCACTAAGACAGAATTGAAAAATAGTCTCCTTGTAAATCTTGTTATTATTATTTGCTGAAAAATTCAAGTATTTTGTTCGAGCTTTGTATATTCCCTCTTTCATTTACAGTGCATCGAGAGCGTGTGTCTGCTGCTGCTCGCTGCTACAAGCGCCGTCGATGCGCTTGCGGATCCTGTTCAGGAAACCGTAGCTCAGTGAGCATCAGAAGTTTTTTCGGGAATCATGTTTAGATTGAAATTAAATTTGTTATCATATAGTATCAAGTCATCCCCGACTACTTGTTGATTGAACACACAATTGCAATTCTTGATATATAATGCTATTTAATTTCCTAATCCACACATGTATTATTTAGAGTGCATAAGCCACACAAATAGATTTTATATTCGTCAACTCCCACAATAATTATATTTCACTGAACTAAGCCTCTATTTTCAACACAGGGTCACCTCGCGGGATGCTAAGAACATTGTCGAAACGACCTCGTATCCCAGCTACTCGAAACCGGCTACTTTTACCTACTATTAGCTATTCTACTGTAAAATATCACGGCTACTCGAACCTCTACTCAAAGAACATATTTACTCCCTTCAATAAAAATTTCAGCAAAATAACTATCGGCCAAGCTCATGACACATAACAAAATGAGAAAGAAATTGAACTCCAATTATATTTTAAAATAAACAAACACGAAAGCCGAATATTAAATGGTAAAGAAAATTATACTCATAAGTAGTTGACGAATATAATTCCTAATTAATTAAAATTAATAATGCATGTACTTTAATTTGGATCCTCTTCTTCACTCTGAAGCACTTTGATGCTGGGGTTAATTGTCACGTTAGTATATTTTCTAAAAAATCTACTGTTAATCAGCTAATCTTGCATTAAGTTTTTTGGTTGGTTTGTTGCACTATGAGCGTTTACTCAGTAGGCTAAATGAACATCAAAGTGCGGTTATGCGCTAAACAAAGATGCACTCTTCCATACCTACCTATGAGTCAGACAAGCTTACAAAACACGAATTTCGGACGACATTTATTCAAAATTTTAGCATTATTCTCTCTAATAATACAAGACATATAATTATTGATGCTCATTTAATGGGAATCAAAACATTGCATTTTTTATGGGTTGTCAAAAGACTCAAATCTGTTTTCCCTGTATAATGTACAGAAATATTACCGGTAAATATGAAGAAATACATTGCAGTAAAATAATTCTCAAAAATTAATGGGGATTATTTTAGAAGGAAAATGAAAGTTTGAGGTGTATTTAACTAAGGATGAACTCGGATGTAAGCTAGTTTATGACCCAGGAACCCTGCACGCTATTGGCCCGTATGCTAAAAAGGGCACTAGTACTACGAAGTAGCACTACCCACTACAAGCCGTAGTGCGACATGGAACACTACGGTTGGCATGCTAAATAGGGCACTAGCACTATTTCTCAAAAATTAATGGGGATTATTTCAGAAGGAAAATGAAAGTTTGAAGTGTATTAACTAAGATTGAACTCGGATGTAAACTAGTCTATGACCCAGAAACCCTGCTCGCTGTTGTTTTATTGAGAGAGGTGTTTGAATTAAAAATGTTGTGATATTCAAGTGATGAATTTATATAATCCATCAAGATTAAATGTGAACATACTTTCTGTATCAATATAAAATATTTTTATTATACACTCACGTCATGAATTCAAATTGTGCCTAGTAGTTTAATAAATTTTAATCTATCGTTGAAACGGCCTACTCTGTATTTGTGTCGTTGAAATAAAAAGTAGTGTTTTAAAAGATATTTTTATCCTTTTTAATAATATATAAGGAAAAACAGCCCCATAGCTTTACAGCACCCGTAAATTCAATGTAATTTTATTTTCCTGCAAATTGACGTGGCTGGATTCTCGACGAATAAGGCTTTGCAATTTAATTTTTGAATTCCACATTTGTGAATTTGAAATGTGAATAATCGGTGCATAGTGTTTTGTCCGAATGAAACACTACCGGCACTAGCATAACTTATACAGAAATTAGCTCATTACTGATCACTGACAGAGCAGATGTAATAGAGCGGAAAACATGAGACAATTGACGGTTGAGCCATTTATGATTGCAGGCCAGCGCTTGCAAGTAAAAGTTTTTTTTCATGAAATACCCGATGAAACCATTTTTCTCACAAACCTAGAAAATAGCTTGGATTTACTATGTACTGCAAGGGCCAAAAACGCAGATACAAGTATAATGCCCTCAAAACGAAAAATGTAAACTCGAGACTGTAGGAGACGGCAGCGCGTCCGCATGTTTGGTAGTGTATGATGATGGATTGGATGACTGGGGGGAGGGGAGGAAAAGGATTAATTATTGCTGAACGAATTTATTGCATAAATAACTGTTCCATGTATCTCGTGCGTGTAACATAGCTGGAACAGAGGTGCATGGTTATTATTGCAGCCTTATCCAACCCTTTATATATAGTGTGCACTGCTGACTTGAGAAGTCCTGACATACGAGAGCCTGCTTTTTTGGCTCTATGAATGAATTTGTGGAACACTCACCAAGAAGGTGCTTGTCTTTACAATGCAGCTTCATATCTGCACCTGCTACGCTGACAGCTGAGTTGGGTGATACCTCCTTACCTCAGCCCTCACAGGAATTCGAGGTGTACGGGCCTCGAATTCCTCGAATATTAAGATGACATGCATATACAATACATTACTATACGGCATTCACTCGGATACACTACGATCAATGTTACTGGGTGTACATGGCTGTATGAGTCTCAGTAGATGTAGGCAGGCTAATATAAAAGTTTATGGCTTATTCTAAGGAATATGGCTCTTTGTTCGGGGGATTGTTCGTAATGAAAACTCGTTGTGGATTGTAACGGTTTCCGAAAACAAAGAATGAACAATTTGAACACAAAATTGAGTTCATTCGAAGTTATAAACAATATAGAGCAAAATAATCCAAGTTAACAAGCAATAAAATGATCATGACATAAGTAACTGACAACATACCAAATTGCTGAACAATCTAGGGCAAGTTTGGTTAAAACTGAATTTGCCTGAGCTCATCAACTCTGGTCCTACCTAAAAGGTCCCAACCTTATGTGCAAGGGAGAAGTATGTTCAGTAAAAAATTCTTTTCATAAATAAAATTATTTCCTTGAACCTACATTTTGAGTAACAAACGTTATCGGAAGAATATTGTTCGGTCCTAAAAACTTTAATCAATGAATTATCTGGTCATTAGCAAAATTTTCCACCCGGGTTTAATCAATGCGAGTAAAGATGAAATTAGTCCTTATTACAACACTTCTCTTTAACTTTACTTCTTGTTGTTTGTCTGTCTGCTATAAATCTTATAATCGATATTTAACACACTTTTACCTCTCCAATCGATCTGAAATTTTGCACACTTGCGAAAAGTTAGAGACAATGCATGATTCTATTGACAGAATAAATAATTTGGAAAATTAAAAAAAATGTTTTGGGGATTTTAAAAAAGTAAAAAAATTTGTCTGCTACATTTCTTATAACCTATATTTAACACACTTTTACCTGTCCAATCGATCTGAAATTTTGCACACTTGCGTAAAGTTGGAGACGATGCATGTATCAATTGACAAAAGAAATAATTTGAAAAATTTAATTTTTTTTAATTTTTAAAATAAAAATTTAAAATTAATATTTTTAATATTTGATAATAAAATTAGAGATTCAATGTACATGTGTAACATCGGAGACACTGAATTCTTTAAGTGTTATCTTTAAAAAGTAATTTCTAAACGCACATTATTTTTTATTCTTCTTTTTACATTTGTTTTTTGGGTCGTTTCCAGGGACCTTGATAAAATCTAAATGGCGCGTTTTCGAGTTCTGTTATATATTGATTTCCTTGCAAATATCCCAAAATAAGAGGTATTATGGATATGTCTTCCATATATCTCTGTTTAGGCCTAAATAATATTAATCTAACCAGCCAATGTATTCATTCAAAAGCTTCAGTTTGTAACAGAGACGATATTCACTTAGCCAATAAAATTCGTTTTTTTTTATAATATTAATTATCAAACAAATGTCTTGTAGAACAGCTGCGTAGGCCTCACACACATTCTTTACATATTTGTCATTATATTTGAATATTTTACATACATTTTCTTAAATTTTTTTTACATTTCTTAAATTTTTTATACATTTCTTCCATTTTTATACATTTTCATAAATTTTCTGTACACTTTCATTAAACGCATTCTGTAGAACTATGTAGCTCAAGATTAAATATTTGATGAGTAGGAGAACACACAGATTAGCGGAACGGTTCCATAGAAGTATAACCTGTTTAGGTATATTAATTTCAGTCCGTACATAAGCGTAAAGGCAAATAGTTTTTTCCGTAGTTGCTTAATTTGAAAAACTTTCTTCTATGTAATGTAATCATCTATATATGTAGTCTGTTTTAATGGTCCCTAATCATTTAGACCGCATCTCAATGCCCGGTAAATTTTTATAGCTTATTTGTTATCATTAATCATGTGAAAATTATTATACCTCTTACTCATCTCAATCCATTTACTACCTATCAAACGCATCAATCTTAAGGCCTGCCTCTATTATTAGTGGCTTAGAACCTCCCTTAATTGGTAAAATGAAAGCATCAGTCATAATTTATTTGCTCCCAATAGAAAATATTTGCTCCACGGAACAGTCAAAATACTTGTAAGTTGTCACTCATTCCTAGCTCCTGAGACAGAAAGGTATATGCATTCATTAGCCAGTGAATCGCTCTCACCAATGAGACATCAATTGCAGCCAAAAAATACTGCGTTACTCTGCTGTGCAAAGTTGACTTCGTACCCTGGGTCAACTCTTTCGAGCTACGTTTGATTAACCTAGAAAGTCCTACACCATTTTCATGCAGGATCATTGGTGCTGAAATGATTCAATATATAATAGACCAATCAAAAACTCAAATAGTGATAAAATAATACAGAATCAATCCATTCACATTAAATAGTTTTTACGAAAAAGAGAAATTCATTCACAAGCTTAAATCTTTTTGCCAATAAAAGCTATTTACCATCAGTTTTAAATTGAAACGGGGATCCTGAAATGGAAAGGTGCCCTTGAGGACCGATGGGCTCTTGCGAGAGCTCTTTAAACGAGCGCCTTCCCATGACTCAGCACGAAAGACATATAAGACTGCAGTCCTGGCACACCTAATGGCTGTAACTCGGAGAAAGCGCGGCCGTTAACACTTCATCATGAGGTTCCTACGTGTGAGTAAATGAATATGAATATTAGTTTATTTTCACACGCTCGCAGAAGTCATAAAACGGTACCGGGATGATCTGAATTTGAAAATTTCTTCGTTTAGAGTGGTTTTTAGAGTGGTTCGTCATTATGTCTATAGTTTATATAATTTCATTTGGCAAATTGACTACATCTGTGTCAAATAGTTTATATGTAATGATAAAAATAATTCAGTTGAATCAATGATAAAGAATCCACATAAAAATTTCGAGACCAAAAGAATTCTTTACAAAAGGAAAACAATTTGTCTCTTACTTATCTACGAATGTTACATTTGGTGTAATCATGCATTTGCACTGATGCATTTGCCTTTTGCAATAAGTTCCTTTATGCAATGATTTCAATGCACCAGTCCAACAACAACAGCGCTCAATTCTATGCTCGCATCGCCACACGATCATAAAATTATTTATGCAAAATTAGGATTTGAAATTGAAAACGATTTATATAGGGAAATGATTTATCGGGAAATGAAGAAATTTTTCAAAAATGTCGATAATATACTATTTCTTTGTCATAATCGTCTAATCGTATTACGGCAGCAGTCGGCCAATATATTGTTGCTCTATATCACTGCTTTGAATAAAAAATACGTGGTATAAATTTGCAATGGCCCGAGTAATAAATAATTATTTGTTACTCAATTATGGCTTCTGAATCATTTTATAATTGTGCCTTCTGAGTCAATACTTTTGTGTTCATGGTTAACAATTGTAATGCACCACGCACATTTCATAATCTTCCTGAAGATCATTGTTACTATTCTTCATTCATGTATTCCCTTAAGCCAACTTGTTATATTGTTTCATTTTAACTAATTTACCCCATTTATAATTTGATATGATAATATATCTCATTTTAATGTACATATATGTACCTTTTTATGCATAGATAATTTAATTTATTTCATTTTAATGTAAGTGTCCATATATATAATTTGTTATGTTAATTTATTTTCTGCACGCCATGCCAGTTCATCACAACCATATGCCTTCTCCTCGCTGCTGCTGGCACCGTTAGGGCGCTGGCTGAGCCTGTACAGCAGACCGTCGACCGGTGAGCGTACGATATTGGTGGGAATTGTCATCCATTTATAAAGTATTATTGATAATTGGATTCCATTTATAAAGTATTAGAGAAAATTGTACTCCATTTATAAACTATTAGTGATAATTGTATTCCATTAATAAAGTATTAGAGAAAATGATACTCCATTTATAAACTATTAGTGATAATTGTATTCTATTTACAAAGTATTAGAAAAATTGCTTTTCCATTTATAAAGTATTAGTGTTAATATATTCCATTTATAAAGTATTTATCAAATTTTGGTTTAATTTTGAAAATCCAGTTTAATTCTTAGAACCAGCTTATTTTCTTAAGATGCCAATTAAAATACGTTAATTTAGTTATGGTTGTCAACCATGCGGTGACTTGTTAAAATTAACGAATATTTCTCACGTGTGACGTGAAATGTGAAAATATATTTTTTTCTTTATTTTCTAGCGTATTGCTCAGCAATGTTTCATAGTGAAAAAAAATACGGAAGCCTTTCTGTTGGGGTCTTGGAGAGCCGGAAATTTAAACGCCCTGTGGAATAAGTAGATTTTTAAAAAAATTATTAGCAACTGAAATTTTTTGTACGTATTTTCGTCCTAATATTCAACTCCCTATGGCAAAATTTTTTGTTCCAGATATCGAGACCCCAAGAACATCGTCATCTCTATCGGTTTTCCGACCTCCGTGAGTGTCTTCAACAAATCCAAATTTAATCCCTTCGGACTGACCATCGGGAGCTCTGCAATAACTAAAACATTTGGCTAGATTGCAGCACAGAAAAATTTACCATTGAAAAATAATTTTTTTCACGAGTGGGTTGAATTTGAAAATTAAAAATAAAGTTAAGATATCAGGGAAAACCACGTCGTTATGACATAGACACACAAAGTCCTGATATGCCAGTTCATCTTTTCCCTCCGCGAAGTGTCATGTCAGGATATGCCTTTTCCCTATGCGAAGTGCCATGTCAGCGAAGATTATTCCTACAACTTATCGTAGAACAAAAGCAAACTTTAAAACTAAAGTTAAATGAGCTATATTTACAATCCAACTGATTTTCACACACCCGTCAATTTGAAGAGAAATATTACGTCACCTTGAGTCAGATCTAAAAAAAATAAGTATGTACACAATCCTCACTTTTAATTTTTAGCTGGTTCAACACCTTAAACTAGGCTATTGACTAATATATACAGTGACTGATGAATAATTTTAGGCAAAGTTGTTGGTAAATAAGTGACGCGAATGAAATAAAATGTTTAATTTTTCAAGTGTAGACACCAAAATATAATCATCTGTGATAATTATATAATTACAATGAACTATCCCTACACATCTTGTAATCACCTAAGAATAGGCTTGGTAATTTAGTGATTAATATGCTTACGACTCAATTAATTTGAATTGTGTTCAGAACTGGCCATTAGATGGGCTAGGTAAGTTTTTTACAATCACGATTCACGAGAATTTGAATACTTGCTACTGCGAATAATGTGCTCAGCAATCACCAATTTACGGGCAAATAAAATTTGCGTCCGAAGTTTATTGAATTTTAATAAAAATTTAATAGCAAATTCTGAAATGCGGGGACATTTTATTTTCGAACGTTTAATAAGGACATCCGTTAAGCCTGATGGGAACTACGAATAAAAATTTTGATCAGATACCAAATTAAATGCTCGTTCGTTCTCAATAAATGAAATATTTTTTGTATAATTAAAAAAGCATCTAATGTTTTTCAATACCCCTTGGAATTTTTTGAAAGGAAACACCTTGGAACATCTTAAATAATATCAATAACATTACTTGGACTTTCATTGACAGGGAATGTACCGCGTAGGGAACACTGAGAACACTCTATTTATAAACACATATGTGCAATATTCGTGTAGACGATTTTACTTCTCTGATAGTGCCGTACCTTATGATTCAGTTTTTTAACGCGGTGAAAATTCTGTCGATCGAGAGTGTAAGCAAATCCATTCAACTAAATTTACAAGTCATCACCGTTGGATGTAATCGAAAATTGCCTGCACTTTCACTGGCATACATGCACTTCTGGCCTCCCTTAGACCTAGAGCTGCAGTTCGACGACAGATCTGGACACCAAACAACCGGCCTCTAACAGCAAACAACCGGCCACTAAGAGCAAATAACTGGCCACAATAGCAAATAACCGGCCACAAACCGCAAATAACCGCCCACAAATAGCAAATAACTAGCCACTAAAAGCAAGTAACCGGCCAGTAATAGCAAATAACCCGGCGAAGACCAAATAAAGAATTTAATAGCAAAGCAAACAGCCAGAAATTTCACCATTTCTTATATGAGAAAACGTTTCGGAGTCCATGCTCCATAGACAGATCAAAAACCAAAGACACCAGTACAAACAATTAGCAAACTAAATTTGCATTGAAGATATTAGAACGTAAATTGTCAAATGAAAACAAATAAGAATTAGGTAAACATGAGTTTGCTAATTGTTTATAGTTGTGTTTCGAGTTTTTGAACTGACGATGGAGCTGGACTCGATCAAGACTCCGAAAAGTTTTCTTGCATAAGAAATGGTGAATTTTTTTGCTGTATTCTTTGTTTTGAAATTTTTGATAAACTTGCGACTTGAGTAATCAAGTGATCTTGATTTTGAGACCGAACAAAAGCTCGCAGTTGTGCTATCTATCATTATAAAAAGCAGATATTTTCTAGTAGCAGTAATTTCTTGCTAGAAATTGTTGTACATTTAAAAAATTTAGCCTCATAGATACATTTCATATCGAATATCATTTTGATATTCTTCATCGAATCCCAACAACAATTATTTGACATGTAGCATGCATTTCATTTATTAATTCATTTCCTATTTTAGTGCTGAAATGATACTCATGTTCAAACATTTTCCTGCTTAATCCGCAATGTGGACCTAGTGAAACCAGGGATGACAAACTCCCTTTATAGTTCTACAAATGTCCTCGGATATGGTTTGCTCTCGGTGTCCTTGTCATAATTTTACAACGTAACCAAACTACGCACAATAATGTTACATAATACAACGTTGTGAAGGAACACAATTGCTGACCGCTATTAGGCCATTTACTTGTCCCTATATAAGCCGAGGTCTAGGATGCTTTCCAATCAATCGATAAACGATCGACTCGACCGACATACTCTACTAGAATTCGATACTAAGATAGATCCTTCATATGAAGCTCCCAATGGTGAGTTGAAATGTCAAGTATTTCTGTGGAAAAATCCTGTTAGGCCTACTGTTCAATGCTTGATAAAAAAACTAAATATGCGTGAAAATAAATAAAAATTATAATATACATATACTACATAGATATGTATATACATATACATATATGTCAATGAGCTTTTGAGAAATCTTAGTTAGTTGAAAATACTGTATGATTTCAGGTATTTAAATATTTTCAATGTATATATAATTTGATCCCTAAAAAATTCAGGTAAATGTTACTATTTTCGATTCATGGAGTAGCAGAGCTGGAGCTTTGCGCTCTTGGTTCTGCCGTGTCTGTGTCTGAGCCGACCTCAAGAGAAGAACTCCGCCCAGACTGTCCAAGTAATTCAGCATGAAAGCTTTCCTCCTGAAGGCCCAAACTTCAGCTTAGTTCTGGAGACCAGCAACGGTATCAGGGAGACTAAGGAAGGCTCTGAAGGACCAGAGGGAACTTCAGTTATAAAAGGCTCTTACAGGTATTTTTCTTTAGCGATTTTATGAGAATCAACGAAAATGTCGCCTTCAATTCGAATTAGTTTCACTAGAAATTTCGGATCATTTCTGATTTTAGTTATCGTGTTAATCGACGAACAATCATTGTTAAATTTATAACCTCATTTATAACTTGGAGCACATTTTCTAATGTTTACCATTGACTTGATCCCTCCGTTCGTTTTTGAATCGTCCAATAGTAAGTTTGTGACTTTGCTTTTTTCTTTTGGCAGTTTCCTCATGGAGGACGGTAGCATTGTAATGCTCCATTACACGGCGGATGAGAACGGCTTTGTTGCAGAGTCACCTATTCTTCCTAGCTCTCCTCCTCTGCCCCTACACGCGCAGCAGCAAATTGCATCTGCTGAAAATGAAAGACTGCAAGAAGCACTTCAGCTAAGACAACAACCACCTGAATTTCAGCCACTGCCTCAATTTGACCAATCAACATTTCAGGAACAACCACCTACGCAATTTCAGCAGTTTCAACAATTTGACCAACCACAATTTCGCCGGCAAGAATCTCCCCAGCTTCAGCAGCTGCAACAATTTCAGCAGTCGCCGCAGGTTCAACTGCCACTTCAGCGACCGCAGCTGAGGAATTGGCAACAACCTTTCTTTACGACAGGAAATCGATAGAAAATTTTCCTTATTTTCAAAAAGTTGGCTGGAATTGGATACTATCAGTTCCCAAATTAAATTGCTAATTTATACAATTCATGAATTCGTTCACAACATATTCAAATTAAAAAAATGATTATGTATAAGAACTTATATTATCAGTCTGCTTATATCGCAAGTGCACAAGGAATTCTTTGCTTGTGCTTCTTTCTTTGCTGTGCTATCTTTCTTTGCACGGTTGTATTATAAAGGAATTCTTTGCATTGCTGTTTTTGTTTGTTTTCTTTGCTTTTAAATTCTTTAAAAAAATGAGAGATAATTTTTCACTTTACCTGCTTTAAAATGGTCAGTGAGGTGGTCGATCACACATCCTCATTAAATTAATTAATTTACAATCAAAATAAGTAGTTTTCCTGTGGAGGTAGTTTCCATCTTCTGAGAGTTCAGGGCAATTTAAAATTAATATTGTTTTGAACCTTCCATTTATTATCAAAATACCACTTTCTTCCACACACACCAAATAATGGCTAAATTTCAAACTATCTCACACAGTCTTGGTCAAATATGGTCGCCATTTAAGCTTCAGGCTATTTTGAAATCACATATCATAATGATTGATACGAGTTTCGGAACGCCAATATAAAAGATCGGAATGATTACAGGCTGTTGTTCCAGCAGCAATGCCAAAACCAACACTGATACATTAGTACATGTCAGAAGCGCTTCATTTTGCATGTTAATACCTTTGAAAATTCATGTACCTACTAAATCGTGGGAATGTCGCTTCATTTTGGTTATTATCATGTTTCATAATAGCGTGACCTTTAACATGATTAATCACGTATCACCTATGTCTTTTGATTATTAAAACTCCTAACTTTCAATTTCAATTTAAAATTCCCACAATTATTACATTCTGGACATTTTTAAGTCTAAACTCGGCCGACTTTGCTCTTTCTGAGTCTGGAGAAGAGTTGGCGAGCTCTCTCGTGCTCCTCTTGCCCCCGTCTGATCTGCTCGGCGGCGTGGGGCGGAATATTCCTGGGCACCGGCACCGTGGCGTAGTAACCATCGCGGTCCGCGGTGTATGTCACCACCACCGGGAAGCCTTCCGAGTCAAAATATCTGAGCACGAGAATAAAATAATAATTAAGTGCAATGATTCCCAAACTGAGATAAATAATTCACTTTACGAGTACTTTATTGAAGAATCTTGAATGACTCTTTGGATAATTTACCCATTTTTCGAGGTGATTTAGGGGTAAAAATATGAGTAATTAGTGTAACATGCTGATCGTGGCATGTTACGATGGGTAACAAGGCAAAAAGTTTTTAATCCTCTGATTTTCCTAATAATTTCTTAAATGGTTTACTTAGATCTGCTTATCTAATTTAAACATTATTGAACTCTGCAAAAGACAATGCACGAGTCTAGCTGATCCAAAACTATACTGTTCGGCTACTACTGATGGAATTTCCAAAGGCTCATGAGCGTGAGGTTTCTTTTAGGCCTCTTGATGCTTTGACAGCAAACCTTGGAATTAAAAACATAGTGACTGTTAACTTAATATTTTCAAGCTCACTGTTTAAATTACCCTATTATTATCATCGTTACCCTATTTCTATTACCTAATCAGTGCTAGAAGAGACAACGCACGAGTACAATCCATATTACTGTTGTTTCAGCTATCAAGGTCAGTGCACGAAAAAAAAAAACAATATTGATCACACTCAGTTAACTTTTAACAAGCAACGGACGAGTAGGAGCCCGTATATGTGTTGAAGCACACACTAGATAAAGTAGAGACAATCAACGTACGAGTATGAGCCCGTCTGCGTGTTGAACCACACACTAGATAAAGTAGGGACAATCAACGTATGAGTAGGAGCTCGTTTGCGTATTGAAGCACGCACTAGAAATACTAGGGACAATCAAGGTTCGAGTAGAAGCCCGTATACGCGTTGTAGCACGCACTAGATAAACTAGGGACAATCAACGTACGAGTAGGAGCCCGTCTGCGTGTTGAAGCACACACTAGATAAACTAGGGACAATCAACGTACGAGTAGGAGCCCGTCTGCGTGTTGAAGCACACACTAGATAAACTAGAGACAATCAACGTACGAGTAGGAGCCCGTCTGCGTGTTGAAGCACACACTAGATAAACTAGAAGCAATCAACGTACGAGTAGGAGCCCGTTTGCGTGTTGAAGCACACACTAGATAAACTAGAAGCAATCAACGTACGAGTAGGGGCCCGTCTGCGTGTTGAAGCACACACTAGATAAAGTAGGGACAATCAACGTACGAGTAGGAGCCCGTTTGCGTGTTGAAGCCATCAGCATCAGGCGCGATGTTCTCCACAACCTTCACGCCGTGGTCGGTCTCGTACAGTACGGCCGCCCGCCCGTCCGCGGTTGGCTGCACGCGCTGCATTTCAATAACCTGGAAGTTTTAAATACTTAATTCTGTCCAAAGATAAATTTGTTGAAATTCCTAATATAATTCATGATATTAGGGCTAATTTATTTTGTATTCAGCAGCGTGGTTCAGTGCATTATATGAATAATATTTTGAGCAACATTCAATATGAGTTCCTCGTCAAACTATGAAATAAAATAACTTTATTGGTATACTTGATCACGCGAATGGCATAATAAAAAAATTACTGATGGAATGCCTTTTGAAAATAACAGAGAATATTATATTGAGAAGGGCCCGTATGAGTATGAGATTAAGTTTTGCTAGTATATATTTATATAGAATTCGATAATATACTGTAAAAGGGTACAATTTCATACCGTTTTTGTTTCTCATCTCTCAATACAGACGTTTCGAAAGTCATTGCTTCTACTAGAAGTGCCTCCCACCTCTTAAATCGAAGAAATTTCTGCAGCTATTTAGCTTCAGCGTAAGTTTTAGATAAATCTGGTCAAAAGCCTAGTTTCTAGATTATTTTATACCTGAGAGTCCTGTGCAGGCACGATATCGGCAGGAGAGAGGCTGCTGCGCGGGTTTCCGAGGTCAAAACGGGAAAAATCATCCGTATTTTGATGGAAAAAACCGTCTCGGGTTTCCGATCCGATGACTCTTCGGTTTTCAGGAATAAAATCGTTCCGGTTCCCCTGGAGGAAATCTGTGCGGAAGAATTGCTGCTCTGCTTGACGCGGGGCGGTGTCGGTTCGTCCGTCGAATTGAAGTTGCGGAATTGCCGATGTCGCCATCACCAGTGACAGTAAAACGACGATCTGTTTCAAATAATTTATTCTGAATTTGAGTGTAAAAGCGAATGATGTTCAAACTGTGAATCAAAAGTAAATACAAGGCTTACAGTCTGTCCTCTAAAACAACAAAACGTGGAAGCAAAATGTTCAATTAAACTCAAATGTGCGAATGAATAAAGAAAGTGTATAAAATTTAGGCACTTAGAATAACACTGTAAAATATGTTCATTTTTCGTGAACATATTTTACAGTAGAATCATTATAAGTAAACTCACGCAATTCATGTTGTCAGGATAAAGGGACAATCTCACTCGAGCAATTCTTGAATAAGAATGTTGTGAATAAAGTCAGTTACCTTGTTTTTATACGACTTTTCAATTTGACGTAAGGCCTAAAGGGTCGAAGCATGTAGGCCTTTCGCACGATATGATCAGCCTGTTGCGAATATCTGAAGCACAAACCTAAAGGTTTTATAGGTTGTCCTAATCTAGAATTAAGAGCAAGATCGTGTTACGAGAAATCGGCTTAGAGCACGTCGTTCTTGAACTAAAAAGACTTAACTAGTGAAAAACTTGTTACAGATTTAACAACAAATATGTTCATTGAAATATTTTTGACTAGTTTCCAATGGCATTTCATGCGTGAGCGAAATTTTAATAAGGAAGGTATAAACAGAATTTGTTATATATTATTTTTTTCATAAGAAATAATAATGATAAGTAATCTTTGAAATTTGTTCTGTTCAAGAAGTTTGTTTCTTTCAGATTGAGAGTATTTGAGCAAAACTTCTTTGAGTGCTTGTGAAGTTGGGCAAGAAATTGTCTCATAAAGGACGAAGATATCTGCCAACGTAAACAGTAAAAAATCCTATGAATTTATTTCCATTTATCATTTGATGTGAATTTTCTGAGATATATTCACCAATTAATTTCTTACGTAAATATCTCGCGGCGATTTTTGCCTTCTGTTGAAAGTCTGTTTTATTTCCAAATGCAATTTAAAGGTGAAGTTCCCTTCAAGAATTGGGTAGAATGAAATTTTAATTGATTACATTAATTACTCTAAAATTTATTGAATATTATTTTCTCATGCCTTCTCTGTTATTATTTTTTTTACCTGCCTAGTCCCAACTGATCATCATGACAGTAAATGGTGATGGAATTTCCAAAGGCTCATGAGCGTGAGGTTTCTTTTAGGCCTCTTAGAAGCTTCGACAGGAAACCTTGCAATTAAAAAAATAGTGAGCGTTAACTTAATATTTTCAAGCTCACTGTTTAAATTGCCCTATTATTATCTTATCCTCGTTACCCTATTTCTCGCTAATTATTTACAATTATTTAGAAACTAAACAATTTATTCATATTTTTTGAAGCCAATTTCCACATGAACTCAGTTTGATGAATTGCGCCAATGCAATTTAGTGCAAATGCAAAGTATGTTAGTTTGAAAGTAAAGTTTAAATCGGCCTAAAATATTACATTGAATTAGTTGCCTATTTGATATTGACGGAAATTGAAATAACGAAGTAAACAGAAAAATATTTTACTCCTCGTCTAGGTAAAGAGATGAATAATCCATGAGGAAAGGAATATTTTTTCTCAACGCGATGGAAATTCTATATTAATTTTCTCAATGTAATGGAAAAACTTTTCTTTCAGTTTTAAACTTTTATTATTAAAATTAAATTTTAGCTGTGCATGCTGTGAGTTTTAAAGCTTGATGAACATATCATTTTACGAATAAAAGTATTGTGCATCATATGACCTGTTTGAGTTGTATTTATTCATGACAAAGCAATTTTTGAATATTATGAGATGTAAGTTTAGTGGTTAGTTTTGATGCTTCGCAGCATTAATTTATCATTCGAATGTTATGTTAGTTTCATCTGCACACTAGTCCGGTTTCAGTTAAAGGGTTATTTTAAATTGAATTTTTGTTGTTACATTCTATTATTTATTTGATGGTATGATATTTTTCTCGCACTTATGATGGATTCTCAGCCTGCTCAGTTTTTTCTAGATTGTCGCTAAGTTATTACAGTTCGAATCAATCTTTTGCAATAAATCATTTCTAGCGTATAAAGTAATCGCATGTAAAATTATATCGCTTGTATTAGTCGCAATAATAATAAAAATCGACATCGCAACATGAATAACGTAAAAGATTCAATTCAATTATTCAATGCACTTCTCAAATCCTTCAGTAATAAGTAACAGAAAAATAAATGTATTTCTTATTTGAATTTAACGGCTTAACGAGAGATTTAAAAGAGAGATGCTTCTACGAGCTTTATTCATCTGTCGCTGCAGGAGCTTTCAAGGCCATATTTTTGAACGAAAAATTACATGTCATAAGGCAAGGAGCTGCTGATGTCAGTCATTCTGACATATTTTAATCAGTTCAGAATCAGAGAATGGAATAAAGTATAAAACAATTCAGAATATTGTCTGACAGAAATTTATCACGAATCATTATGCTCATATAGCATTTTATGAACTGCTTGCTTGAAATATATATGCATCAGCGTATAGATTCTGCAAATCGCAAAGTTCAGAAAATTTTGCAATTGGTTGCATGAGTTTCCTCTCCGGATTGTTGTTTTGGAGTCTAGCCTGAATTACCGTTAGTTTATCAATACATTTTTCTAACCAATGACCTATTATTCATTTCCTTCATGCTACAGGGTTCTTATAATGTTCTTCTACATTATTTGCGTGGACTTTGAAGTTCATTTAGAAGTTATTATTTTTACCGAACGAAGAAATTATTCGAATTTTCTCGCTCGCATGTACACATGCCTTAATACAACAGTATTTGCGTCACTATGCTCGTAAATGGCATAATTCAGTGCCATTCAACTCTAAAATATTATATAGTCATTTTAAGTATAGAATTTTGATTTTCATGAGACTCATAGAATTTCTGAAAGAAAAGTAAGAGCAATTCACACGAAAACTTTAACTGTAAACAGAACAGAATTTGATACGCGAAGCCTTCAGTGTTTGCATTTTTTTGACAAATAAACATTTTAGCTCATTTCCAGAAAAAAATCTCCATCAAAATATATTCAGATGCATTCTTTTGGGACGTGTTATCTTTGAGAGAGTTTTATGTCTTGAAACTTTCATTTACATTCAATTTTGTATTTGTCAATTCAATGACATTCGGTATCTTGTAGACAGGAACAAGATTCAGTAGAAAAAAAAAATGATAAAGACTTTTCAAAATTTGCACAACGACAGACATCTCAAATGATTGTCAAAGCTGCTAAACACGCGCCACGATTTTAAAGTTTTTGCGGATCTAACCAAATGAAAGAGAAGGTTAAAAATACTAGACTTAATCTCAAATTTACAAAGGCAGATTCTAACTAACAATTGCGGTGTGAAAAATTGGCTCAAAATTAACTTTTCTTGACCAGATAGACGAAACCAGCTAAAACATAGGAACTACATGCACCAATACCCATCATTTATTTAACCGAATGGTGGTGTATAAGTGTAACGTAAGTGAAACAGGAATAAAAATCCTCATAAAATAAAAGACATCGTTTATTAATGATAAATTTATCAACCTGACATATTTTTTATTAAAAGATGAATTCTTCAACTTGAAACCCAAGATTGTGTACCGTGCCCTCAATTTCAGACTACATTTAAGGTTATTTGAATCATCCCAATGTTCATATATTTTTTGAACGTGCGGTCCTGAAGCTCGTTTTTATTCACTGTTGATGTTTACGAAACTCGCGAGCGGAATCCGAACCTGTCAGCGATGTACGAGACGGAGACCGGTGTACCGTCTGGGCTGGTGTAGCTGAGAAAAATATAATATTTGAGACAATATTTGTTACAAATTTGGTAGAAAAACGAATGCATGTTTAGTTTTAGAATTTTCTTTCTTTAATTTGCAAATATTACATTGATGCAATTCATACATCAGTTGGATAAACAATTCAACAAATCAATCTCACAATCAAAATTTTTTTTTGTACCTGCAAATGATGCATTTACCTCATTAAGTCACGTCAACATTTAGAAATTTCACTGTGACATAAAATAATAAAATGATTACTTATTCTATGAGAAATTAGGAGCTTATACGCAAATGTTCTCTGAGACTGTAGCGTACCTGTACGAGCCTTCCATGACGTTAAAGCCGTCTTTGTCAGTGTAGGATTTCTCCTGGACTTTAATGCCATTGCTTGTTTCGTAGGCGTATGACGACCGACCGTCCGACGAAGGCTCACTGCGTGATTCCGACAACACGTACGCGCGAGCCTCGCTGTGCTGAATGCGGGAATTACGAAGTGGGCTTTAGTTTAGATTTGATGCGGCGTAAAATGGGAATATACTGTAATAAGTTTTTTAGTATATGCAATCAAAATAAATGAAGGTTAGTTCTATGAAAGGGCTCAAATATTTTTAGTCTATTGGAGTTTTTAAACGCAGAAATTACAGTAAATAAAAATAATGCAGCGTTCAATCTGGCTAATGTTAAATATGAGCCCGAATAATTATTATTTTCCCGCCTATTGCAAACTTATTTGACTTAAATATATTTGAAATTTCAGTCATCCATTACTTGAGAAATTTCTTATTAAAATTAAAAGAGACAAACACAAGCATTTAATGAAATTAGTGCAAGTGCGATATCTTGGGCAGCGTACTTTAATTGCTTTACTTTGTCTTTAAATAACTTTCACTATCGACCTCATCGATTTAACATCGATGGCATATCATTAAATTCCGGCTCACCTTGTTAAGATTTATGTTCTGTTGCTGTTTTTCAGAGACCAACACCGGCAGGTTTGGCTGCAGAATTTCAACTTCGGGCTTTGGCTGTACTCCAATGAAGTTCTTCTTTGAAGGAGTTACGGGATCCTTGACATTACGGATCGGAATTTCAGGCGTTTGGGCTACGAAGGAAAATCCTTGCGGGATTTCAAAAGCTGCTGGATCATCATTTGGGAGAACGTCTCTGTAGAACCCTACTTCGAAGTGCGGATCAGATTCCACCGGAAAAGGTTTGAGGTCATTATCATGGTGAGAGTGCGATGGAAGTCCCAATTTTATGTAATTCGTCGGCAATTCGTTGGAACCATCTTCAACTTCCTCTGAAATAGGGAGCCCGTGTGCGAGCAGCACAGAACACAGCATGATTACCTGAAATGTTTCAAAGAATAGATATTTTTGAGCCCAAAATTTCGATAAAGATTGTACGACAAATGAATGAATTGTTGAGCTCCAAATGAACAATTTTAGCTCCAAATTGTTCATTTGGAGCTCGTACGTTAGGATAGGAGTAAGGTTGAGAAACAATAAACAATAAGCATTGAAAGTAATAAGTTTCAATTCCAAGAGATTTGAAGCGACGGCACGCGGTCGTTTATTTATTATTACTAATTAAATCAAATATCATTTGACAACGTCAAACATGATATCTCTTGGGTATTATGAAGATTTTATATACTAGAGAAATCGCTGCCTCGTTGTTTCACAAATCCTGATTTGACAGCAATTTTTGTTATTTGCAAAGCTACATAAGTAATCAACGAAAGCAAAAGTATATCTTTTAACCGTCCCAATTTCATAAATAGTTTTTAACATTCTAATCTCTACGTACAAAATTTCAAAAATCCTTACCAGTCTCATGATGAGCAATATTCTCTAGGAATTTACAACTCGAAGTCATGTAAGGCACTGTCAAAGGACCTTTCATTTTCTGCTTTATATTGAAGCTTGCTAAGATAATATCAGGCTTAAGCTAGGCTTATTTTCTAGACAGGAAAAATTACTTAGCAAGAAGACGCGTCGAGACGAGAAGCTATCTCGTCACGCACTCGGAGTTTTTTGCGTTTAACCCTACCACTACCAGGCATGTGAGAACTAATCAACAATATTGAGCTTTAGCGACAGGGAAAGGCCTAATTTTCAGGAGGACCTTTAATTTATTGAGTAAATGGCTATTGAATAATGATTGGTCGGTAGTGAAATAATGAATTTCCAACTACGTAATTTTTATTTCACTTGCATATCATCGATACCATTCGCATAGATTTCAAGTGGAAAGTGACTTGTTTGCACTCTACAAATCTTCTTGAACAGGGAGAGTTAACAATGTCATGCGTTTTAATTAGTAAAAAAAATCTAAAAAGACTAAAAAGTGAGCAAGTTATAACAGTCATCATGAAATATTCCGCTAAACACTCATTTACTCTATTAAGATTCCATCTTTGACACTTATTATTTTGGTATTAGGTGCCTTCGTCAACCGCATAAATCCGAATTAACATGTATATTAATACTGAAAATACTTTATCCTGTGTGAAGATATAATTAAGGAATTTAATCGAATAAGAAGTTTGTTCTGTAAACTAAGTGACCGGCCTTTTCAAAACGTGCAAAGAATCGTAGAGTATGACATCCTTCTCTCATTTTCTGTCAGCTCATAGAGAAAATTAATTTCCTATGGTATACTGAAGTAAGTGTAATTGCTCCATATTTGCAAAATATCGCTAAGTCTCATCACTAGAACTTAAAATGGATATAATGCAAAATTATTTTAAATCCTGGGTCATTAATACAGATAATAATCTAAATTTGGAGATGTTTGTTTTAATATCTTCTCATTTTTAGCGCATTTTCTCATACATGGAAAAAATGCACTATTGTGCTCGCCATGTCCGTCTGTCTGTCTGTCTGTCTTTTCTCAGTCGTCCTAAAATGATTTGCCTTAGTGAAATATTCACTAGTTTTCCCCAAAAAAAAATTTAAGCTTTCATTTCTTCAAGTAACTTCTGTGGATCAATAGCAAACACATTTCTGGAAATAATGCCACAGTACAACTGTAATATGATTTTTCGTGTCTGGTTCACATAAATAGTTGAGCCAGGAACTCGACGTCAAACAAGACGTGTATATTTTAAACACATCACAATATTTTTCCATGTATGACTCGGTAGTGTAGAACTATCGTGGCTCAAACCCTTTTGTCTACTGACACCTGAGCTCTACTCAAGGGGATTCATATCTAATGGCCTACATAAATGTTAAGCTATTGCCAGCTGAATTAAAACAGTTCACAATAATTTTAGCATCGCTCCTGCCAGAGCTGACATCAACTGTGAACAGGCTTGTCAGATAATACCTTCCATGTCAAACTCAGCACTTGACAACGTGCCAAGATTACTATTTCATACGCTTTACCCTCGGGGGGACAGATGTTCCTTGCGTTTTTTTTAAATCAGCGAATAATGCTCTCAGTTTGTGTATACATAATTTGGAAGAGGTTAGGGGAAATGTGAGGGGGCAAATCTTCCTCTGACAATTTCCAAGCTTCGAAAGTTTAGTTGTTTAATAGTTAAGGACATGTTGATCATTCACAAAATATAAACAGGCCTAACCTTTTAAAGATTAGAGTGAGGGAGGAACTTAAATAACTCGATGGATAGAGCGTCTTTAATTTGTATATTGTTTGGATTACTCACAAATCCATGAGACGCGAACATTCCAAATTGTACGAGCAGCATTCCAAATTGTACGAGCAGCATTCCAAATTGTACGGAAATAGAATTATAGCTCGAAATTAGGCATATAATTTATTTTCGACCTAGCATTTTCTGCATGTTGAAAAGCGCTTCATTCACTATGTGTACACAATCCAGAACACTAGGTAGATGCGTACATAAACATGTTGCGTGCAGCATCAGATAACCTTTTGTTTAAAGTCGCCGCAGAACCTGCATTTTTAGGGCCTGTCTGTTGATCAACACGCGCCCCTCATTATACGCTAATACAATCGCCGGAAAACATGATCGAGGCACACGCAAAAATAGTTTGAATTTTAATATAAATTACCGACTTAGTATGAGAAAAGTTTATTTTTAATGCATGTATTAAATGGATTCGGTTGCATGATTAACGCAAGCCAATAAGAAAAGAAGGAAATCATTTTATATAAGCTCCCTGTTCAGTTTAAACTTAGAGTGAGAGAATGAATTGCTAAATCATGTTCGTTTTCTTATTGCGAACTAAAGGTAGAAGTGAGGAATTTTACAAAAATGCTTGAACCTTGTTATTTTTGGCATTCTTATGCCACAAATGAATCTAGTACCGCTTAGACGTTGCCTAATAAATGCAAAGATTCTAAACAAATTCTACAAATTGTTCATAAACAGAAAAAAGAGAGAGAGAGGCTAACGAACTTATGATAAAATAGTTAATCTCATTTCATCCAGCCCTGGTTTTTGAACCAACTTCATATAAAAGCATAAACAATGTTTCACTGGCGGCATGTAGGTGCAAAAATTAATCAAGAATTTCAAAATCACGAATCTTTCACCTTTCTCCTGAAGATCAATCATAAAAATTAGACTCTGTCATAGTGCCGGGAAAAACACGCTTAAAGCCCATAATAAAATGAATGTGAAGTCCGCGATCGCGCGCGCTAAAGAAACATAAAGAACCGAGCTTGAATCTAACCATGGTTTTGTCGCGCCTGGGCCGCGTTCACGATGTAATGGTAATTTTAAACGCCTTGGTAGATTAATATTATTTCCGCCTATGAATTTATATATTTTCTATATAATTCAGCTGTCTAAAATCAAAACCTGAGAAAGTTACTGAAAACTCAGCAAAGTTTTTTCCAGCGTGAGAACAAGTCCGGTTAGATGGAAATGATCAGCAGTTTTTTGAAGTGCAGCATCGGTGTGGCAGTCTCACGCGTCTGCTGCAAGGGTCACGAACGTGTCTATACCAAGGCAACAATTTGTCGCGATGCCGGCGGGTGATAGGCGCTTTAGAGTGAGTTCTGCAGATAGTAAATAGCCCTAATTGAATTAAAACGACACGTATCGGGACTTTGTGATAGCCAGCGAGCAAAGCTGAGACCAAGGATATCTTGGCGTTTCGAAGTCGGAGAAGAAATATGTTCTCGTTGATCGTGTCGAAGAACAGTCTTTTTGAAGGGATTGTAGATAGAAAAAGATCCCGAGGGCCATGAGAATTCTATGCTTTAGGTTGCGTCATTATTATTCTTCAGATATTTGTGCTACGGAAAAGTAGAGGGTCTCTTCATAAATTGGTGAAAAATATTCGTACTCGTATATGCGTCACATATTTACCAAATTACATCGTTAATTACTTTAATTGTCATCCCGTTGTGTGATCAGTCATAAAATCGGAAGGATTTAATCTCTTGTGAGCTTTTACAAGCGTTTTTTTAACGCAAAGTTGAATTGCGTGAAATTTTAATCCGTTCAAATATTCTCTTGGTCATGGACAAGAAATAAATTGGATGTAGCAATAAAAGTTGAAGCTAAAAGTTCAACAAAGTTCTTTAAAATTTAATGTATACATTTTCAAGCAGACGAATGACTTCCTAAAAGCCTAATTATAAAAATGGGCAGTGTAAAATTTATTACGGTATGGGTATGAAATTGAGACGATTTAACGGATTTAACGTTTTAAATTTCACCAGATCCACCTGAATTTTTGTACCAGAACTGCAATATCCACAATTTGACGTTGACGCGAAGCTGCGTGTGAGGCGCGGAGAAGCCATTAAGGTAAGCCATAATTTGGCTCGCTATATAAGGGTTGCCGCTCCACACTTTAGCACCTATAAGCCTTGTGGTTTGTGTTGCCAGTGTTGTAAGGAGCATCAAATTACTGGAAGAAAGCTTTTTCGTCCTGACGTGCCCCTAACAGACCCCAGTCAAAACCCGTGATGTTTGCTTTAAAAGACCCGCCCTCGATCGCCTTGCAAGCCAAAGGTTAGCTCTCCGAGTCGAGGAAAAAAATTAAGAATAACATTGTGCCGCAGGGCAGCTTGGGCGAGTCAGATGTGTTGGTTGGCAGGATTTGTCGAGCGACTCTTCCTAATCTATGGACTACGTATCTTTTTGTTGTTGTATCAGTTAAGTTCCGATTCACGAATAGTGTAAACGTCAAACTCAACGTTTGGTGATCACACCTCCAAAACCTGACAGTCAACCTACTGCATCGAAAAATGGAAACTCGTATGAGTTAATAGACGAACATTTGTTCCAGTTCTTCTTGACTATTGCACTTATTTCAGTTCCTGCTATCGACTCGTATTCTGCACATCAGTCGTTCTGCTATCTAAGGCCGGTCGACCGATGTCAGAGCGATAAGAAGGTCCACGAGCATCGCCATGTTTGGTCAAGGCGGATGCATGTAATTCTAGCGCACGTAGCATTGATGTTCTCATACATTGATCACGCGTCGCTAAAAAATCCTGTTGAATCAGTAACGCGAATGCGGTCTCTTGTCAGTTGTCGCATCGCGGCTACGCAAGATTTTTCGTGGCTTTTCACGTGCACCTTTCTAAAGAAAAGTGATATATTTTGAATACATCAGACATCTTGACACGGTTTCCAATGCTAACAAATATTAAAACAGCAAATTTACACTTTTAGCTATTCACATCCATATTATTTAGAGTTTACTTTAGAATTATGCGCGGATCGGAAATATGACAGATGAGTGCGCTTGTTTACGCACCTCCTAGTAACGCAAAGAACAAAAGCCTGAACAAATGGATCACAATGCTTCACTGCCAGCAGTCTTCTTGGCCATCAAAAGGTATTAATCTGAGCTTAGTGTCAGGCAAAGCTGTAGGCCTTACGAACGATGGCTGCAACCTTAAGATGGTCTGGTAGATACTGCGAACAAAATG